CCCCCCCCCCCCCCGCTCTTGCTAGTAGAACAGTGACTATACTTTCCCTGCAAAAATCATGAATAGGTGCTTGCTGATAAATTCTGGCTGACTGTAATAATCAAGAATTAAATTCATTTGTCAGCTTAAAGTTGAATTTCACCATATTTTCTAAACTGTTAGTCATGTTTACTTTAAGACCATTGATGTCAGTAGATCTGTCTCCAAATCTGTTAGTTTGAAATCTCAAATATTGTTTAACATTTTCATTTTCCAGTACACAAGTCTCTCTCTCTCTCTCTCCCTCCCTCCCTCTCTCCCTCCCCCCCCCCCCCCCCCCCCCTCCCTCCCTCTCTCTCTCTCTCTCTCTCTCTCTGTATGTATGTATGTATGTATGTATGTATGTATGTATGTATGTATGTATGTATGTGTGAAAACAGGGTTGAGTGTAAAGGTGATTATTTTAATATCCTGACCATATAAAAATGGCAATCTAGCTGTTTCTCAAGATGGAGAAGTCCTAGCACATGAAATTGGTGTGATAAAATTCTATGATAAAAGAGTGCTGCAGCACTTCTTAGGTATAATTTTTTAGTCTATACTGAATACCAGAGAATCATTGATATTCTCTGACCACAGAGTTTGGCAAAACTGTATTTTGGGTTTTTTTTTCCTCCTGAAACAATATTCAACCTTCTTAGAATATGCAAAAAGTCTTTCATTTAAGATATTCAATGCTTTGAAAATATCTAACCTGGCAAAAGGAACTGCAATTCCTGCTCCTTGTCTTACTGTTCTTGGATTGCACTGCTGCTTGGTTACACAGGACCAGATTGGAATGGGACAACTCGCCACGGCCAACTCGCCGTGGCCATCTCACCGCGGCCATCTCACCAGGGTCAACTCGCTGCAGGCATCTGGCCGGAGCCAAATCGGCATTGGCATCTCACCAAGACCAATTCGCCACGGGACAACTCACCGTGGGACAATTCCATGTTGCATAATTCAGTGCGATAAATTTTATCCACCACTGTTTCTTCGACATTATTTCCATTGACAAAAGTGGAACTAGCGTAGAGGAAACAGTGGCAGAGTTACCCCTTGTGGATTGTCTTGTGGTGGGTTATCCTGCCGCGAGTTGGTCGTGGCAAGATGGCCACGGTGAAATGGCTGCTGCAAGTTGTCCTAGACCCAGACCAGTTCCTCCCCAGGAGGTCAGTGGGGCCTTTCTGAATAGGGTTCCATAGGATAAGACAGGTGGCCCAGCCAGGTAATTGTAGACTTTTAAGCTGCTGTGTAATTCACATGGCACTAAATATCATTCTGGTGGAAAGAAATGATTTATATTTCAAGATTTTTTTTTTATTGAACACTGATCGTTCTTTGTATGCTTGGATAGTTGTCCCTGATTATTAATATATTTAAAAATAACAACGTTAGAGAACAACATCAGCTGCAGTGAATCCTCAGTTTTCCATGTAAGCCTATGAATCTGTCTACTCATTTGTCTGGCTGGATTTGTGTAAAAGGATAGGGTGGGCTAAAATGGAATTGAATAGCTTGTGACTGATAGTACTGTGGGAACCCAAGCATTATCTTAATATGTTACATAACCCAGGGCATCAGGTTAAGGCAGTTAATTTAGATATTATGGGAATAAAGCCATTGTGTTTCGTTAAAATGGGATTAGAAGATGTGTTATCTGGATCAGAGGCCCCCAATCTTTTCGGCACCAAGGACCGGTTCTATGGAGAAAGATTTTTCCGCGGACCAGAAGGGGCGTGGTTTCGTGTGCTGCCTGTATCCAGCGGATGGGGCTTCACTTGTTTGCGCGACCCGGTTGCTGGTATGCCACGGCCTGGTGCGGGTCCACAGATCGGGGGTTGGGGACCCCTGATCTGGATGTTCATTCTTCCCCATTCCCAGTATTTGATGCTTGGGTCCAGGTGCACAGTAAAGCTTCATAGCTAAGTGGGAATATGAATCTTGGTCCTGGTGTCCAGTTCTTTCTGCTGAATTGATTGCATGCTAACTGATTTAGGGCCTTTCTGTTTTATAAATTACAGTCTCAGCCTTTGCAAATAAATATGTATCTATAATTGGGTGTGTTTGTATATCCTCTTGCTTTTCTTCCCAGAAAACTTCAGTCAATAACAAACTGAATTTTAAAAACATCTATCCATTGAATAAAATAGTAATTGGAATAGTTGTATCTCACTTCTTCCTGGGTGGCCTCTTTTAGTTGAAACATTAGTGTGCAGAAATCCCCTGTGATCTTTGGAACAGGTTTTCCACATGTATCCAGATCTATTCTGATTTTTCTAAATTCTGTTTTGAGTTTTTAGATTTGTTCTAAAAGAATTTCATTGCAAAAAAAGGGATTTGTTTTACATGCTTATGTATTTATTTGTCATCTTTTTTTTTTTTAGGTGGTGGCAACTGCCTTATTACTGGGTGGGAATTAAGATGTATGACCTTGTAGCAGGAAGCCAATGTCTGAAAAGCAGCTATGTGCTTAGCAAATCCAGAGCTTTGGAACTCTTTCCTATGTTACAGAAGGACAGACTCGTGGGTGCCATAGTCTACTATGATGGTATGTCCTCCCCTTTCTTGCCAGTCTTAAAAGCAAAAGCTTTGATCCTGGTTGTGAATCTTGAGCCGATTCTATCACTAGCTATATTGCAGAGGTACTGACCAGCCCTTGAGTTCATGCATTTCTCCCTTTGCACCACCCTGCAAGAGTCTTTAAGTACCAACTGCTTTTTTCACCCGCTGCACTGTTTAGCTAATCAGTTAGAAAAAGTTGCCTTAATTACAGTTACCTTTCATTAAGCCATGCTGGCATAGTATTGCAGGCTAACTCTGCCCACTGCCAGGAGTTCGATCCTGACCGGCTCAAAGTTGACTCACCCTTCCGAGGTCGGTAAAATGAGGACCCAGATTGTTGGGGACCATATGCTGACTCTGTAAATAGCTTAGAGAGTGCTGTAAAGCAGGGGTCCCCAACCCCTGGTCCGTGGACCAGAACTGGGCCGCGGCATGCCAACAACCAGTCCGCACAAACAAGCAAAGCCCCATTGATGAGTTGCAGGCAGCACACAAAACCATGCACTCTCCAGTCCGTGGAAAAACCTCTCCATGGAACCGGTCCCTGGTGCTCAAAAGGTTGGGGACCTCTGCTGTAAAGCACTGTGAAGCAGTATATAAGTGCTGTTGCTATTGGTGTTTTAGCTCTTTTCCTAGCAGATTTTCTCCCAACAACAGAACACTATGGCAGAGAAGATTCATTGTTGTTCCTCTTTCACATAGCAAGTGAAGCACACCCATCTCGAGTCCCTTCCTTCATGCTGAAAAAAAGATATAGATACTAGATTAGTCTTGTCCCCTTTTGCTTTCAATGTCTATTTGTGCCTATTTGTATGAAAATTCCTGAGAACATGCCAGAACTAGTTCTGGGAAGATGTTCATGTCTTTGAGTCAGGTAGATCTGTTCTTTCCTCATGTATATTGTCTTCTAAATTAACTTCTCTGTGGCTGGTGGATAAACGAGGCGTTATCATAGATGGGAGCGTGCCAAAGAACTTACTTTGTAAAATCTGTATTTAGTTCCATTATTCACTGAGGTTTCCAGATGTCTCTTTTAGTCTGCCAGTAGAATGCTCCACCTACTGGTGGCTTTTGTGACTAAAAAAACCCCCATTTCATTCTTCCCTTGGATTTTCCCAAATGAAAGTTGATTTTTTCATTTGCTTCTGTATGCATGTTGCTACTTCATCAAAATACGTTGCTGCATGCAGAATGATCTTTTATATTTTTTTATATTAGATATTTCTCCAATTCTGCTTTTGAGAAACTTTTTGTAGGCAAGCATAGATACGTACGGATAAATACATGAGTTGGGGATGAAATATACTAGCAAATTAGTCCATTTACTTTTTGTGAAGGGGGAAGAAGAAAATTAAATTTATATAGCTTGAGCAAATTTAGGTTGGGGGATAATGAGGAAGCACCTCAAGCCAAAAGGACTAAAAAGGACCATTAACCACTTTAAAGTAGGGGGACGACAATGAAAATGCTTGATGTTCTCTACAAAACTGATCAATGTAGTGAATCCACAAACATATGATTATAGCATTATGAATATTTGTATGTATCAGAAAAAAGCTAGCTCAAAACTTCTTTGTAACCATAATACAATAATACTGATGGGATCTGACTGTTCTGTTGAATATGTGCTTGCTATGTATCGTAGTTTTCTAGGACTGCAGTTTTATTACTGATTGTAAGTTTATTTCTTTGCCTGATAAGTCTTGAGAAGGAGTGGCTGAAGAGAGTAGTTTTTGTTCTAAACTGGATTATATCTTATAAAACATCCCTTCTACAGTCTGGGGCATAAAATAAAATGTTATGTGCACAAAAACATGGAGGTGAGTCTGCATACATTTTAATAAAGTAACAGAGAAGTCAGCCTACCAAACCGTACTTTCTCTGAAAATTTCTAGAAGCCAAGAAACTCAGTTCTGAGATTGTGGAATGCAACTAGTTACACAGCAGGATGCCCATTTAGTGACATTTTTATTGCTCCCTGCCTAAAGGCCAGCCTTAACTGTGATTTTTTTTTTGTCCTTATGTTAGATGGATACAGTTTTCTGTTCTTTTTTTATAAGATGATTTACAGGTTTATTTTTTCTGTTGAGATAAGAGTGTCTTAACATGCACATTTTTTAGAAATTTTTTTTTCTACCTAACCTCCAGCCCTAGCCAATAAACCAGATTCGCACTTTCAGAATGTCTTTCATGAACAAATGCTACACAGACATTCAAGTACGAAACCTAAACTTCAGTATCCATCCAGATGCCTTTTGCTATCTTCTAGTAGTGCTTCTCTGTCATTCATTCTGAAGAAGCTTTAGAATGATGCGTGCTAATTATGGGACCCATGTGGATTGCTTTTGCAGTGAAAAAGCTACACAAGGGATTTTTTGCGAACAAAAAACCTGGAATTTAAATTTGTCCTTTTTTATTTCTTTATTTTTTTACTTGTATATCTATACAATTAAAACAGTTTTTAAGGTTAAAAGAAAAGCTTTTAAAAAATAGAAAGGAGACAATCCCAAACTAAAAATAAAAAATAATACAGAAAAGGAAAAAAAACTATCTTATATTTTATACTTATCAATAGTTATGAGTACGCTACTGTAGACTGTTCTCTCCACATGCTAAATTTACTTGAATTGAGTGATCCTAAATATAAATTCTAAACTGTGAATTGATCTTCTGGTAGATTGCGTGGTATTTTGTCTTTTCACATAGATACAGTCTGTTGTGTTTCACCCACATTCTGCTAGAGAAGCAGTCAAGTGATCCCCTAGAGCAGAGGTGGGCAATTCATTTTCCCAAGAGGCCACATGAGAAACTGGGACTGTTGTGGAGGGCCAAACCAATAGGGCTGTGAAGATTTGTAGGTATGCATATATGCCCATACTTAAGTTGGGGAAAAAAATAGCAGTTGCCTTCAAAATAAAAGCAATCCATGTGGGCTGGACAGAGACATCAAAGGGCTATAAAAGCCCAGGTCTGCACTAGAGAGTGGGAAGGGCCCTACATTTTTCTGGAATAATGCTAAATCTGCATACAAAAGAATCTTTCAACTGATAGGGAGGACTAGCCACCTAGCAAATCATGCCCCTCTCCCAGTCCTATCCCAACCCAAGGAGAAAGACTAGTGGATGGTCTCCTAACAGCTGGTGAATTTGTGAGAGTGAAGCAAAGCTGAGCTGGGATATACTGTACAAAACCCTATTTTTAATTTGGTTCTGGATAATTGACAATGTGCCTTTGGCAGGACAAGGATTGCTGGTGGATCTGCCACATTTTAAAACCAATGTTTCTGCTGGCTCAAGGACTAGTATACAGAATTTTAATTCTCTGGTGAAGAAGTGCCCTTAATGTGTTTTTCACTTTGTGCTCTACCTTACATCTCGTTTCTCAAGGAAATGTATGAAGTCTGACACCTGAAATATTCTGATATTGTTCTTTTTTTAGGCTTTTCCTAAGAAACCGCAAGTTTAGCAGAGCGAGCAAATAAAAGTCTATGTTGAGATTCATTTTTAATCAAATAGTTAAAGGCTCAGTACTGCTAAATTTAGCTGATTTGCAAATAGAGAAGGATAGAGGAGAGCAAAAAAATTA